AAACTGCACGAATAAACAGATCTTGTCTCCCAGCCCATCGTTGATTGTGTTAATATCACTAAACGACAATAAAATGGCAAAAAATAAATCCAAATGGCAATAAATTCAAAATTAGAAAAATGATCCTGGGTATATTTAGTTCTATGAAGTCATGTGTACATATTTCAGTGTCTTCATCATGAAGAAAAGAACAGTACCATTTTTGCAAGCAAATATGATGAAACAGTTGAATATACATCCAATTACTGACTACATATCCTGGTCAAGATCTGGCGGATGGTCTGGTGCCTATTTAAGGCAGCACAGGACACACCTGCAGTTAGTAAACCTAAACCTAACCCTAACCCTAACCCTGGATGTGCATATACAGAAGCTTCTCTACTTACGAACAAGTTACATTCCGAACAGCTGTTTGTAACTTGAAATGTTCGTAAGTCGTCATTCAACATCATTTTAAGTGCATACGCAAGTACAAAGAACTAGGATGCTGGGAGTACGTACGCTACGCTGCTGCGCGAAGGGAGTAGCGGCCAGAAGTCGTATGAGGTGGAATTGGCGTGCAGAAAAAAAAACTGATGTTGCGGACAGGAAACGGGAGCCCAAGGAACACAGTTTAGACTTACAGTCTTCATTCGTATGTCTGAAACTTCGTAAGTTGAAAGTTTGTAAGTAGAGCAGCATCTGTACTGTAATTCATAAATAAACAGCTAATTTATCATGTTATATTAACCCTAAAGACAGTGGCTCAGGGTGTTCGGAAAGGCAGGGGCACTTTTCCATAGGAAGGGTACCCATAGGGGCCACTTAGATCAACCATTCTCAACCTGTGGGTCGCAACTCAAATTTGGATCCCGGCAAGTACTGAAAGGGTAGTGAGGCAGAGTTGTAAATGTAAGCATTTTTAAACCAGCAAACTCCTATGCTGACCCATGATCAGATTTCCCAGCCCCAGTCCTAAAATAAACCTATATAAACAGGTCTTGGGTCTGCAGCTGCTTAGCGCAAAACTAGTGACCACTCAACCAATCCAAGAAGCCAGACCACAGATGCTTGGTGTAAAATTCACTGGCAGATCCAATCAGATTTGTGCGATAGGCATTGATTGGCATAAATTGCAGAGTACACTGCACGCTTCATCATAGCTTTAATTTAGACCTATATACTTGATAAAGAGTTGTGACTGAGCTGGCATGGAAAAAACTAGATCGTGGTGCAAAAAGGTTGAGAACCACTGGTTTAGTCCATTGTAAGGGGACTTCATTGGGCACTGCATCGCATTTCCTCCACGAGAAGGGCAACTCATTAAAACACTTCATCAGATTTTCTTACTTTATTGGGCCCATCTCCTCACGTGAAGGGGGCTAAATCATGTGAGGGGCAGCCAGTAGCGGCATGGGATGTGCAATGCCCTTCCATGGAAGCTCAGTGAATGGAAGTATCTCTCACAGATCCTTTTTGTCTGTCTGGTAGCCACCGGCAGGAAAAGCATAACTCAGTATAAATAAAGTTACCTGGTTAAATATATTGTGTGCTATAATTCACTTAAATTAGTCATGCAGAACCATAAATAACATGCATCAGTTTTTGGTTACAAAATCAAAGCTTGCTACCAGAGGTTCAGTTACAGCTGCTCTTAGCTTGAATAACCAAGCTTCAGGACTGGTGCATTCGAGCCAAGCGGGCAGCTACTGCAGGCAGTGATGTTACACCTTCCCTGTGGGCCGCTACTGCAGGCAGTTCAGGCAGTGATGTTACACCTTCCCTGTGGGCCGCTACTGCAGGCAGTTCAGGCAGTGATGTTACACCTTCCCTGTGGGCCGCTACTG